TCTTTTAAAAAGGGTTTTTTATTCCTTAATCTCACCTTGTTTATTATTTTATGACCTGCCTGTTTTATATTTGCTGTCCTTGTAAAGCACTTTGTAACTTGTTTTTGTGCTCTATAAATAATGATTATTATTATTGCTGTGAAAACCAAAGTTTGTCAATGAAAGTCACCGAAGGACAAATGAAGGATTGTATTGCTCTTTATTCATATATTTATGCTGATGTATAAAATCTGTAGAAACGTTGTAAAAAGTTCACATTTCGCTCCACTTTGCGGTCGCACAAAACATTTGACAAATGGTAATTGTTTTAGGTGTAACCTAAATGTTGAGGGCTGAAGCTCATTGACGTCAAAAGTTGAGGCATGGGAATAAAGGCAGCGAGAATGATTCCACTTTAAGGTTTTTATTTGCACAGGTTTTTTCCTTAATTTGTCAAGTGGTTTTTCCTTTTTTCGGAGACAAAATATGATAATTAATGATTTGCCTCTTTAACAAAATAATGTTCACTAATTCTAAACAGGCTCAGTAAACAGAGGATGTAGCAATTAAACAATAAATCAAGCCTGCCTATATGCATCATAAACAAACTTAATCACTAAACGAATTTATTCAAACAATAATGCACATGTGGACACACTCAGCAAAGAAAGGTGGAACAGGTGTTGTCCTTTGGAGATCAAAATGAGCAATGAACTCTCCTTCCCTTTATGGGAGATCTGATTTGGGGCTCTCATTCACCTGTGGCTGATTGTTGCAGCCAGCACAGGTGATTATTGTTGCTCCTGACTGAGCTCAGGGAATCAGCTGATTTTCAAGCTGAGGACTCTGCTCACCTTTATGTTATTTGGTGCAGTATGAAGTGGATCTGAGAAGTATGTCTCCAACAGAGCAGGTTTTTTTCTGTCTGCCTTTTCCACCCAACAGGACTTCAACTTCAGAGAATTTCAGAAAAGCACACCCTCATGTTGCAGGGAAGCAGTTTGGTCTCACCCCACCTGTATACAGAACACTGACCTTGCTTGCAGCTACTGATTATAACCAACAGAACCGGCTCGAAAACCGTGATGGACACAAGATGTAAGTATCTAGTAGTACAGTTGTTTAACATACAAATGTATTGTTGCTGTTACCTAAACAGTTTTGAAAATATAAAACCACTCTTCTACAAAATTATATTATTGTCCAAGGTCCTGAAGTTGCTGCAATAAAAATCAAAGAGCTGAAGTGAACGCCTTAAAAGAGACGAGACTACAGCCATTAATGCAAACAAAAAATTCAAAGTTGAACGAGCATTCCTACAAAACAGAGTCTGGTGCTGATGATCCACAGGCACCAACAAAAGCTGTTCTTATTCATGCTCACATTTCACAGGGAGAAGCTGCTCCTAAACTTTCTGCCTACCTGTATCTACAGCTGTGCATCATCAGAGCTCAGGTCCATCATAACAAAGCTCCAGGATAGTGTAGACCCCCCCCCCTCAAGCAGCTGAATGTAATAAATAATAAATAGTAATAAATAACTATTATATCTTGATCTCTTTAGCTTTTCCTTCATATTACATTATCCTATTTTATTATTACCTTTGTTGTTTTTGTTCTGCCCAATGGCGATTGCTTGAATCTTGAAACCTTGATAATGTTTTTGTTATTACGTAAATATAAATAAGAAAATAGAGCTAAAAATCAGTGGGCAATGAACACGATCACTAATTGTTATAACCATTACAGGTACTAAATGCAATCACAACAATATAGTAGAAGAAAATAATATCTATTATATTATACAAACTGGAAAAAAAATAAAAAATAAAAAGACTTCAAGGAACTCAACATACAAACTCAAATTGAAATGGCACAAAAATACTGAACAAAGCCACAACATGTATTTGCAAGTCTGTCAGACACATTTTTACACAAGGCAACACACCCTGTAGCCAGGATACTGTACTTTTTTCATTTTTTTCCAGGCGCAGCAGTTTTGATTCATAACTATTCCCCTCTCCCAATCATGATGCTGCCATAACACACACTGTCTTTATGCTGCAGGCCTGTGATGCTGCTCCACTCCGGGCTCCTGCTCATCACTGATGGCGAGTTGAAGTTTAGGTTGAATCCTGGAATAAAATGAAAACCGATGTTGAAAAACAAAAACCTCATACACTAGTTACATATACATGGTTGCATACTAGTTATAATATTGCCCAAACAAGTCGGTATTATGATCCTTCTCACGTCTAATGGGAAAGCAACTATTTCATGACAGAATGAACATCCCTGCAGATTATGTATGACAGATTGAGACATAACGTGATGCTGCATCATTTCCGGTGTCATCGTTGTGTCACGTTTGGCAGCTTAAGTTATGTCTCCGGTTTGCAAACAAATAGATAAAAATATCCTTCTTGCGTTGTCTCCAAAAAGTTTATAAGCTTACAAAATCTGGTAATATTACTGTACCTTTTGAGTCGACATGGTTCTTTATCTTCTCACGGCGTCTGAGCCGGCTTCCTCACCCTCTGCTTGTCAACAAATGCACGTTGTTTCAGATGGGAAGATAAATGCACAGCGCACCAAAACTGAAAAGTTAAATATTGGGGCTTTAACTATGCTTTATATGAAGGAGACCCACCTAGATTTGGGTAGATGCAATAATCTTTGTCATTTATAAGTAAGGGAATCAGACTGTCCCCTTGCCTTACACCATGTTTCAAGCTGAAAATCTTAAGTTCAAATATAACACTTAAACCCAACTATACATTTATTATGAAACCCCATATTATTTAATGTGTGGCTGAGATAGACCCAATCTACTCTATCGAATGCCTTCTGTGCATCAAGGCTAAGTAACATAGATGCATGAGGAGTCTTTTTTGACATAATATTTAGAGCTCGTCTGATGTTGTTGGCTCCCTGCGTACCGGGTATAGACCCTGACTGATCGAGGCGTATCAATTGTGTTATATCCTTCTGAATTCACTTTAGTATGGCACTTCATACCTTTTGGTCATTGCATAAAAGGCTTATCGGCCTATATCCTTCACAGTAGGTGGGTCTTTCCCATCTTCAGTATACAGTATATGTTTAGAACCACTTGCTGAATTTGTCAGGCAGGATGTCTCTATAAATGGCATTAAAGATGCTAGAGGGATAGAGCACAAAATTAAATTATTTGCGGATGATGTTATGTTATATGCGAGCGATCCTATCGTGTCAATTCCTCACATAATACAGGCTTTGAACGAATATGGAGTGATATTGGGCTATAAAATCAAAGATTCAAAATCAGAAGTGATGAATTTGTCTGGGGTGTGGCCACCACAATTAAACAACCAGGTCAAGTTCCACTGGTCGAGGAAGGCTTCAGACACTTGGGTGTTATCATCACCCCCTCCACATCAAAACTATATGAAGCCAACTATGGAAGGTTGTTGAAAGATAAAGGCAGATGTGCACAGATGGCAGATTCTCCCCTTATCACTTATTGGCAGAATTGAAACTATCCGAATGAATATTTTCCCTAAGCTGCTCCTCTTATGTCATTCTTGGCCGCTCAGGGACCCTATAGCAATATTCAATGTTCTTGACAAACTGATAACAAAATGTAATGGCAGAACAAGAAACCCAGAGTTAGACTTATAACACTATTACTACTAAAGCAGAAGGGGGGGTTCAATTTACCTAACCTCAAATACTATTACTGTGGCACAACTGAGGACCTTAATATCATGGATAACTAACGATACTGATACTGCTGGGTCAGTATAGAGCAAAATTCATTCCCTTAGGGGGGCTTCCATTTCTAAGCCAAGCGAACTGGCAGAAATTCAAAATAGAGAATGAATGGATAATAATCACGAGTAAGACTTGGCTGGATATAAAAAATGATTTCATATTTTTTTATTCTATATCCAGGGCATTAAGAATCGTAGCTTTCCCAAGATTTTTACCTATTAAAACTGATACTGGCTTCAGAAAATGGTTGATTAAAGGGTATAACTACTGTTGACCAGCTCTTTTATGGAGAAGTATTTCAATTCTATGAACACATGCAGAGAGAGTTTGGTTTATCAGGGATGGATTTTCTAAGATTTCTTCAGTTAAGACACTATTTAAAGACTCATAAAGACTGGGAGCAGGTATGTAAGTATCAAGTTTCAAAAAAATCTTTACGTTGACTATGGTGGGAGTGTTGGAAAAAAAAACCCTGATATGCCATCTATACAGATGGTTCCAGGACAAGGACACAGGAGACACTATTCAAACAAAACAGGTAATTAGAAAAGAATACTATTATTACTGATGGAATGTGGGGAAAGAGATGGCTTTATGGCATAAATTAATAAGCAGTCCTACCTGGAGGGAGTTTAAATGGAAAATGAGAATGAGAATATTTAAAACCCTCTTGTGATGGCAAGATACAGCAACACATCAGAACTATGTTGGAGAGAGTGCGGGAAGATAAGAGACCATACTCATATTTTCCAGGATTGTCCAAATTGAATAAATACTGAGGAGATATTCAAGTAGAGATCAAGAAAGTTTTGGGGGTTCTGGGAAAGATTACTGCTGTCTTATGTTTTTGTTTTCTACCTGCTGGATGACCCATATTTTTTGTTCTTGCACTTTTTTATGTATTTCTATATGACTGAAATGAACAATGCAACTTTGAAATAAAAGTGAAGTTCAAAAAAATTAAACAAAATTAAAAATCATGAAAAATGTTGACCGCAGACAAGTTTAAGTTGCATACTTGATCATAGCTGTCCCAAAGTACGCTCACAGGTCATTTGTCTAACACTTAAATGTATCAAATGTGCTCCTAAGACAATATTTCTTATCATCTAAACTCCTGTTGACACATTTTTGTTTGACTTTAAACTTTTATCCAACTTCAACCCTAAAACAAGCCCTAACCTCCTTAAATGGAAGGTTATAAAAGTCCAAATGTCCTCTCAAGATCAACATAATTCCACAAACACACCGCAGGGAAATGAAACACCATTTGTTCTTTGCAGATTTTATTTGTTTCTCAAATACAGGAGTTAATGTACAGAAGGACAAAGAATTTCATCAAGAACTGTACAATATTTACACGCCTTTTTTTTCCTTTTTTTTATGGAAAATTAGATTGTTTTCAAAATAAGTCATAGTATGCACAAACGTCAAAATGATAGAAATGAAATGACTATTTCCTCTTTAAATATTACTTATTTATACTCCTTCTTCCCACATGGGAAATGGATAGTTTACTTCTTTTTCTTTGCACCTGCATGACTGATGGTTGAACTGAAGCACAACAATGTTAAGTTTCAAATAGATTTGCCAGTCCTCCTCCTCCTCTCTTCTTCTTTTTTTTTTTATTACTTTACACCCACTGTACTACACCCAATATTTCTGTCTCAGCATGTGTCCTGTTTGTCTAGAGGGGGAAGACAGCTTGGATATGTGGGTAACAACTGTATACTGAACCTGTAAAAATTAAAAAGGTATTTAAAATGTTTGGGCAGCAAACCTAGCGCTTGTGAGAGTTTAATTTAAAAACCTCCTCATATAAATAATAAAAATGTGTTTATATATTATCACACAGCGGACTGGAGCTGCCCTTCACATAGCACAGGATGAGAGAGAGAGAGAGAGAGAGAGAGCGTTGTATTATCACATTTCATGTTTCTGTCCTGGACAAGTCTATGTTCACGCTGCTCATGGCATCACTCTGCACGCAGTTTAAAAAGCATTCTCACCCTGGTCCACTCTTTTCAAAAGCCGACAGCTGATGTTAGTCTTCAAAAAATAATTTATGTAAAAACTAAGTGGTAATAGTTTCTCTTTGAACCATCGTCTTTATGACACAGTTTACACTATGTCAGTGGCTCCTCTGTTGACTTGGTGTTTCGCGGCTCCTACTCTTTGTCCTTAGCTCCTTTTTCCAACAATGGTCAATTCCCTCCTGATCTGCCAGGGACCAGTAGGGTGGGGTCCCCCCTTCCTCAGAAAATAAGACAGTTCTCTAGTCTTTGATCGACAGCAAGAAAAATAACAGAGGCCAGTGTCCGAGGTCACATGAACAGACCCTCTTGTGTTCGCCAAGGGCCTTCAAAATCCATGGGGGGAGGGGGGCTGTACAGTAGGATCCATCTTTTTCCATATTTCGTTTTTCTTTTCATTTCAATCCCCTTGCCTTTATATTCTTAAGTCTCTTTTCTGCATCTAGCTCAGGCTTTGGTGCTGAGCGTGAGCAGCTCGATGAAGGAGCTGAAGAGTGTATCCAGCCAGCTCTGGTTGGCCATGCACTGTTGCACCACTTCCTCCTGGCCCGGATCCTCGCCAGCCTGCTCGATGGTGTTGGTCTGGAAACACAAGACGATTGTGGTGAAGAAGACTCCAAAAGCCCCCGCTCTAAATAACATAAACTAATCATTCAGTTTTACAAAGACTACAAATGTGCACCCTTACCTCTTTTTTGCACTGTAAGAAGGTGTGGTATTTATAGTGATGCAGGGAGTGATACAGACTGTAGATCCGATACGAGTCAGCTGACAGCTTAAGGTCCTAAAAGACAAAAAACATAAAATCAAACAGTATTACCAGGTTATTTCAGGATATTTACGCCCCTGTGACCTAGAACCCAGAGAGGCAGAATGGTGGGGTGAAGTCATTACGCCCCTTATTTGCCATTGGAGGTAGTAACAGAGGTGTAACAGAAGGGTAGGTGGTGTAGGAGTTGGCAGGACAGAACAGGTGTGTGTGTGTGTGTGTTGGTGCATGTATCAGTGAGTGTGTATGTGAAGTTCCCTCTGTGCGTTTACACGGCATGCCACTGAAATGCAATGTGAAATCACACACTGCCGACCCAATGTTAAAGAGCTGGGGATTAATTTTCAAGTACAAAAGCGTCATGACGGAGGAACTTTGACAAGAACTTTTTTTTTAAAAGGACATTTGTTGATTTACTTCATGTAGTTTTAATTTTCCTTTTAGATCTATTGATGGAGGAGTTCATGGTCACTGGATTTCAAACATATGCAATGTGTGTATGTTTACACATGATGCATGCCAAGTTATTTTTTTTTTTTAAAAGAAAGAAGTCAAGAAATAAGATCGAGTGAATTTTATCAACTTCGATTTCCTGGAAAGCATAATGCCACTAAGACTGAACACGCAGCAGGTGCTAGGAGGGGAAGCTGGCACCATTTTATCTTCTGTGCCTCCTTGTGATTAGTTTGACTCGATCTTCACTGTCAAAATATTTGCAAAAACAACCGATTCTTTCATCCCATAGTTTCAGTATGACACGAAAACCAGTATTCATCTGGTATTAGGCTCAAAATGTCCTACAATGATCCATATCGAAGTGTTTAAATATTCACAACTTCAATAAAAAATATGACGGAAAATATGTATTTCTCATCAGGGGGATGGCGTGTCATTGAAAACACAAGATTCTATCTCTGGTCGACCTTCGTAACATGTACCTGTGGTTTAGGCAGGGTCTTTTTAACTCTGTTGAGGGTCTTGCGGTTGTAAGCGTCCCCGCTTAACCGTACCCTCACCACTCCTGAGTCCAGCGGGTCCACAATGATCTGAGGGTACGCATGCAGGACCTCCTGTCAAAGAAGAGGTACAACATTAGAATTATTTTTAAATTTATGAAATACAACATATAAGAAATGGCAGAACCAAGTAGCTCATCATTACACCCGAGTCATTCATCATTTTGGTTTTTAATTACTTTAATCATGAAAAAAATATATTGCGTTAAATTTCGTTTCTGTTCAATGAATTATCAATCACTGTAGTGTAAACTATGTATGATCCTTATTCTGATAGTTTTCTTATTGGAGGTCTAGATTTCCTGCCTTTTAAATGATCAGCATATTCTAAATTCTTAAAAATTAAACAGAAATGTTACACAAACATCTCCAATAAAATGGAGGGTTTTTTTCTCAGTCCTGGTGCAGAGAGCGAAGCGGGGCAAAGTGGACATATTACCTGCTGCTGAGAGCTCATGCTGACTCGCCTCAACAGCCTCCTCTTCTGTTCGTTGAGGATGCTGTCAATCTTCCTCATTGGCGGGAGGTAAAGCTCATCTGGTGGCCAATCAAGGGACAGGAACTTTGGTTAGTCATCACTCATGTGCATGCCAATCATTTTAACACCGGGGGCAGTTTCAAAGCAGCTCTTTCTGGCTGCTAGTCAATCAGCATTCTTGGTGCTTTCCTTCAACCGGTCACACCTTGTTTATTTAGATTTCAGATTTCAAAAGGCACTGAAAGATTCAGTGAAATATGCACGTTGCAGAATTCCCCTGCTGCTGTAAAGCCAGTTTGTCAAGCTGGATATCCCAATTTGTAACTTGGCAGCTGCTACTTGTGTCTGTGATGCTAATGGTTATTTAACCTGCCCCAGTATGAACAGGAAAACTTGGAAGCCATTGAACGCATTGAAACAGCTGAGGTCTACATGCTTACAGATTTTTAATGGAAGTTTTGATTGAACCAACGATAGCATCAACAATGCACTGTGTGTGCAGTTCTTACCGTCTGTGTCCTGCAGAGCTTGGATCATGTCGGGGTCCAGCGCCGTGCTGACCAGCATCTCCACGTAGCTCCTGAACATCTCCCTCATGGCACGGTTGTTCACTCCGCCTTTCACTGGCACTGAGAGGACAAAAAACAGAGGTTATTTCTATTAAACACATATCTTTGTCATAAAACACAACATACATTTGTTTTTTTACTTTTAAATGTCATTAGAAGCCACGGCCCTTTAAGTCCCTACTTAAACATTTTTTATTATTATTATTATTGTTATTTTTCATTTATATTAAATATTCTCATCTCTAAATTTCTGTTTAAAATCAAATCATTTTATTGCCGGGCTCCTCTCTTGTCTTGCCTTTATGAAGCACTCTGTCTTCAATTTTGAGAAATTCCCTCTATGTAAATGCTCTCAGTGACTTGAAATTACACTAGCATTAGGAATAACAAGTCAGGGTCTCTGACAGGTCTCTTACTTTCATTCTCACTCGCTGCCTCTCTGATGAGTCCGAGTCTGACGATGAAGGTATTTCCTTCAGCCACTTCTTTCTCTTCTTAGGCGGGGGTTCCGCCTTCACTTTAACCGGTTTGGACTTGGGTGGGTGTTCGGACTTCTCCTTCTCCTTCCTCTCCACCGCTTTCTTCTCCTCCTTTGCCCTCCCACGCTCTGCTGCTGCAGTACGTTTCTCCACCTTCTCCTGCTGCGGCTGCACTCTCTTTTCCCTCTCCCTCTCGGGCTCCCTCTCTTTCTCCCGGTCCTTAGTTTTGGGCACAGCAGCTGGAGCCTCCTTCTTTTCTCTCGGTTCTTTTGTTGCTGCAGTGGTGGCTGTTCTCGTTTTCTCCCTCTGCTCGCGTTGGACTGGTGGAGCCATTCTCTCTTCCTTCTCAACTACCTTTGCTGGCGCCTGGGTGGCAGGAGGGGAAGCCATTCTGGGGAGAGACGGGCGCCTGTGACACATGAGGACATTTTCTAAGATTATGCAGAATGCTTATCTATAAACATAAGACTTCAATACATGAAACTCATCCTTACAAAAGACATGATACAGACACCTTCATATTTTTATATCTTGATCTCACTGGGGAACAAGTCTCCAATGTTGCTTTTGTAGTCCCTGATCAGGAAAATGGCTTTCATGCACACTTGATATAGCTTAATCTTTATTTAGATTGTTCAATGTGGTGTTTACTGGTACCTGAGAGCAGGTGTTGCTCTGCGCCATGGTCTCCGTGAGCAGACTCGAACGTAGTCCTTCTTGTTAACATTCTCCAGAAACTTGACATAGATTCGCTGGTATCGCCTCTTAGCATCTCCAAAGTAGCCAAGATACTGAGACAGAAACAGAAATACAAGAAGAAATGATACAACAGAAAAACTTTCACAATCATTCCTTTTACTAACATTACTATGAGAATCTGGTCCACAACGCTCGATCGATAAAAATACATTAAAGAATAAATCTCAGTTCTTTTTTTTGTTTTGTACAAATTATTTTTTGGCCTTTGCCTTTATTCGGGTGGGGTTAGGGAAAGTTGTAGAGTGACATGAATTTTGTTCATATTGACCTTAAAGTCTGTAGGTGTGGTTAAATTATAGAAGGCTTGAGGGTGAACTCACGTTGCTCGTGGCACAGAACTGTCTCTGTCCATCTTTGATCTCGGGGCTGAACTTCTGCAGGAGGGCTTTCTGCACCCTCCAGATGGGTGGAGGCTCACGTCCCGTCTGCAGGGCCAGCTGTGCACAAACACATGACACACAGATTAAGAACATGTCTTTGCAGCTACTGATAGATTTGACACTCAACTCATCATTTTCCTAGTGTAATTTTCCTCAGCATCAACAATCACTTATCAAACCCCTTTCTTTTAACCTATACCTGACACCTGCATGTGATGATTTGGTTGCTAAAATGTATTGGTTTGTTGTCTGTCTAAAAGGAAAGCATGCAGTTGCTCTCCATTTTTAACTAGCACAGTGTTTTGAATCATCCGGTGTTCATTACAGACACAATAATTCCCGCAAAATACCTTGAGGGTTCGAATGTCCTCCACCCGCACCACAAACTCGTCCCTCTCTCTGAAGATTCCCTCCCCTCCACTCTCGCTCTCGTCCTCCTCACTCTCTCCAACAATGGCGGCATCTTCTTGCTTCTGGGCAAGGTGCAGGGAGGTGATCTTGGGAGGCGGGGGCTCTTCTGGAGAGGCGGGGGACTCCGGAGATGGCATGGGAGACTCCTTCTGAGCAGAAGATGGTGGAGCAGGGGAAGTCGGAGCAGGAGCAGGGGGAGGAGGGGTGCCGGGGGCAGGCTGAGGGAGAGTAGCGGGCTGGGGAGGGGGCGTTGAGGGGGATGCTGGAGCGACAGGGCTTGGAGGCTGGGAGATTTCTAGTTGTTCTTCTGGTGGAGGTGGAGGTGAGGGGAGCGAAAGGGGAGGGAGGGGGGAGTGGGAAGGAGAGGAGGATGAGGAGGGAGATGGAGGGGCAGAGGGAGGTTCAGGAGTTTCTGGCGCTGGAGGAATCTCTGGAAGGTGAGCTGGAAGGACAGAAAAGCAAGGTTTAAGTTAGTTAATTCACTGTCAATGACCAGATGAGACAATTTATGTGATTTATCAGACTAAAAATATCTACTAATAGCTCTACCAAAGGGAATTTCTTATTTCCTTAAAAACAATGGCAGGAAAAATCAATATGTAAAAAAAAGGGAGATGAATTAAATAGAAAATTTAGCTGGCAGCCTCACCATCAAGATGAGGTGCATCCAGTGTTTCCAGATGTGGCTCCCTCTCCTCCATCATTTCACTCTCTCCATCCCCTCCCATGCTTCTCTCCTCCTCGTTCTCCTCCTCTTTGTTCTCCTCCATGTCTCCATCTTCTGGCTGGAGAACATCAGGCTCACTGGTCTGAGAAAGGGTGTGAGGTGTGTGCATTGCAGGCTGAGGGCTAAGTGTGGGGGGCAGCATGGGAGTAAGTGGGGACTGGGCTTGCTGAGGCTCAGCCTGGGAATGCGGAGAAGGATGGAGCGGGGGCTGGATGTTGGAGGGCAGCTGAGGAGTGTCATACAGAGCAGAAATGGCAGAAGAGATGCTCTTCTGGAGGTCCTGGTTCTTCCCCACCGAGTCCTCTTCATCAGAGGAGAACGAGGGCAGGGTCTCCAGGTTCCTCTTCAGCTCATCTTCCAGGCGCTTGGGGCTGGGGCAGTTGCCAAGAGCCAGTCCGCCGTTTCCTTCACTGTCCCCGAATGGAGGTGGAGGTGGTGGAGGCGGAGGTGCAGGAGACAGTGGGCGAAGACCCCCTGATTTACAAGGTGAGTTTTCACCATTGTCAGGTTCCATTCCAGGTGAGATGTCCAAGCCTGGAGGTCTCTTCCCAGTCTTCAGGAAGTCAAGGAATGAGGCAACAAAGCCAGCCTTGGAGTCGGAGTCCTTTTCATCTCCCTTAAAGTAACAGAAAGTATTTAGCTTAAATGGGATTCCTTTTAATATTCTATGCTAAAAAAAATAGCATGATATAATTCTGGATCTCTTACCCTTTCCTCCAGCCCCTCTTCATCCACACCTTCACTCATCATCTGGCTCTTCTGTTTGTTTTTTTCCTGGTGTCTGGAGCTTTCAGTGCTGCATGGAGGTCCAGGACTTAAACCCAGTGAGGGAGCGGAGCCAACTGAACCGTCTGATAAAGCCGGGTCTGTGCCTGACAGAGAGTCCGTCCTCAGCAAGGCATCAGAGGAGGACAGGGTACCAATTGGTAACTTGATCTAAATAAATAAATAGGAAAAAGTTCAAGGCCTGAATATACAGACAACGTATTCACAAATTACAAAGCCAAGGAAACAGGGAAAGAAAATTGAAATGTTAAACATTTAATACATGCTTAGTAACTCTTGTGCTTCATGTGACTATTATGAAAATGAAAAGAAAGTTAGTGAAAAAGAGAATAAAAACCTCTGTAGGATCTTGGGGTGTATAATGATATATCAATATGAATTGTTAAGTCAATTTAACAATCAATGATTCAAATTGAATGGATGAACAGACAGACAGACAGACGTAGTTTATTGACTTCAAAATAGCAAATTGTTTATCAGAGCTAAGTGGAAACACCAATATGTATCATCATCACTCAGATGTTCCAATAGATATGTTGGCTGACCCAAAAATGTACATTTACTAGGGGTGGGGATAAAAATCGATTGAAGTAAAAATCGAATTTCTTATCTTTTTAAATAGATACGTAACTTCCAAAAATCAGATTTTGAAATTGTCAAAACATTGTTTACTGACTATTTGAAGTTGGGTTGTAAGTAAAGTTCTGGATGTAACTGATTGCAACATGAGTTAAATAGGCCAGGGATATCACATCCACAGGCCCCTGAATTAACCTTTAATATACAAGCAAAATTTAGTGTCATTTTCTGAGATTTGATTTCTATCTTGATTAAAGTTTTGATTTATGCTCCTAGTCGGCCTTTATTCTGTATTAGTGACCTAATAAAGACATGAAAGGAAAAAAAAAGAAAAAGAGAGAGACTTATAAAATAAGAAGCTATTAGCCGTTGCAGCAAATTTCAATCATTGCTTGACTCTCCTGACTGCACAGGCAAGGTGTTACTAATTTAAAGAAAGAGGGCAATAGATGAACTACCTGTTTTATTTGTTACAACAAAATCTTCCCAAGGCCCTACATTTAGCTTTAATACCAACTAGTTGTAACATTTTCTAGCAACAGACCAATCTTATTCTAACGATAAGTTTTCTAGGTCTTCTTGACTGAATGGGACTGACCTTTAGAGGTGGAATAGTAGGCTCATGTAGCGGCTGTTGGGGCTGGTGATGATGTTGCTGTTGCTGGAGATGATGATGGTGCATCTGCTCCTGCTCTTTCCCGCCCATTTCCATGTACATATCCTCCCTCCTTCCTCCTCCTCCTCTCCCTCGGCTTCCACGGCCCCTTCCCCTGCCTCGTCCCTCTACACTGAATCCCCCTCCCACTGTTGTTCCACCCATCTCTCCCATCATCCCTCGTGGCGTGTAGGGCTCAGGCATCGGACGGATGCGAGGCCTGCCTCTTGGCCTGGGTGGACCGTCTCTCTTAGGTCTAGTTGGCTTTCGACCCCTCTTCTTGGGTCCATCCTGAGGCATAAGGGAGTGTGAAGCCATAGAGGAGTATCCAGAGGAGTGGTAAAAGTCAATGTCACCCATTAAAGGACTGAGGGACCCAGCTCCAGCTCCTCCCTTTCTGCAACTCGAAACCAAGTCTGGCAACAGGTCTGGGAGTCTCCTACTATTCAATCGGATGTCCGCTGGCTGATCTGCTTTATCTTCATCGTCTTCAAACTCGTATTCTTGAGCATAACTTTTCTTAGGCAGGGTGTTTGGGTCCCGCCGCTCCTTCAACAGATGGAAGGAGCTGGACTTGAGGAGCTTTTTGGGACGCGATGAGCAGAAAATGGGTGACTGGAGGCCTCCAGAACCAGTTCCTGAGCCAGTTCCACCAGGACCTGAAGAAAGTTTGGTTCCAGGGTTGTTGGGACCAGCAGTATTGGAGCCCATTCCCATAGCTGGGGCCTGGGACTGTATCAATCCGAGATGCTCAGTGTTGACAGTGGAAGGGAGCTCATGGCTTTTAAGGGAGTCCAGATCCAGAGTCATGGTGTTGTTGTTGGGTTCTTCCAAGCCATGACAGTAGGGTTCATACCCCTGATCTCCACCATGGTGACCCATCATGTCAAAGCTGGCTCCACTACTTCCCCCTGCTCCACCTGCACTCTGTCCGCCTTTTATTGAATCCATTCCCTCCTGCCCAGTATGGCTTTCATTCATCTCCTCCTGCCCTGGTCCTGCACCTCCTGCACAGCTGGACTTGTAGTCCTCGGCACAAAACATGTCTTCCATTCCTGGAAAGAAGGAGCGGTCCTCATCTTGAAGGAGGGAGTCGGGGAAGCAGATAGAAGTAAGGGGTACAAAGCGGTTACTTTGTTGACTCTGGTCTGCTTTCTCCACTGGGCTGACTGTGTCAAACTGGTGCTGCTCTGATCGCTGTTGGTCCAGCTGGCTCTGCTGGGGGGTAAGCTGCTGTTGGTCAGGTTGAGGCTGGGAGTGGGATGATTGGCCAGATTGTGTGGATATGTGGTGAGGGTGGGGCTGGTTGTGGGGGTGGTGGGTGTGGGTTTGTTGGTGTTGGGAGCTGGGGTGCTGTTGCTGCTGCTGGTGGTGTTGGGAAAGATGGTGCATGTGAGATGGGGTGGACAAGCCGATATCAGGCTCTGAAAGAAAGGAGTGGAGTTCAGAGGCGGAGTGTTGCTGCGAGTGGTGGTGGGATGGGTGCTGCCTCTGCTGCTGCTCCTGCTGCTGCTGCTGTCGGTGGCGATCAGTGCTACCACCACTCCTCCCCCCACTACCTGCTGCACTACGTCTATCCTCAGAAACAGCAACATCAGAGCTGGAGGTCTGAGAGAGGGAGCGCTCAAGCATGTCCAAAGACGAAACCACTGAGCTTTGTTTGACCTGGCTCTGCTCGTGCTGATGTTGAGGTGGGCCATGGTTGTAGTGGGCTGCTGCCACCTCCAAAGCCTGGGACTGGAGTTGAAGTTGGAGTTGGGTGGTTTGGGACTGTGACTGATTCTGATGTTTACTTGAGCCAAGTGTCCCACCAGCACTTTCCATCACAGCTTGCTGTTGGTTAATAGAGTGCTGCTGCTGTTGGGGGTGCGAGTCCATTTTATGATGCTGTTGGTGTTGGGAATGAGAATCAATTTTGTGGTGCTGTTGATGCTGAGGGTGGGAGTCCATTTTTGGGTGCTGCTGATGCGGTTGGTGGGAGTCCATTTTGTGATGTGGTTGGTGTTGCCGATGGGGGTCCATCTTGTGGTGTTGTTGTTGATGTTGTTGATGGGAATCCATCTTGTGGTGCTGTTGGTGTGGCTCCAGTTTGTTTCTGGTGGTGTGGGACAACACTGACTGGAGCAGGTGTGGCGGCTGACGTGATTGATCAGTGGGTGAGTCCATGAGGGAGGTGGCAGCTTGAGACTGGGAATGTTGTTGCTGGACTTCCGGGGTTTTGCGTGGATACGGGATTTCAGCGCGCTCCTGTGGCTTCTTTTGGAGCTCCATTTGGCTGTGGGACGGTATCTGCGAGTGTGAGGACACATGCTGACCATGAGAGGAGTGTTGGGCAGCAAGGGAGTGTTGGCTGTATGGGTCACCCCTCCCGTAATGGACAACTGACCCTAGGTTGTCATGGTGATGAAGATGGGAATGCAATTGTTCAGCACTGCCTCTCCCTCCGCTGCTTCTGCTGCTTCCAACAGACCTCTCGTTCCTTTGCTGTTGCTGCTGTTGGTGGTGGTGTTGCTGCTGATGTTGTTGCTGTTGTTTCTTAAGTGACATCTCCAGCTGGTTTTCCAGCCCTGAGATGGACCCTCCAGACCCTGCATTACCTACTCCGGTAGAGGATGTGGCACTGTGTGTACGTATTACACTTTGGGGGTGGTACCTCTCCTCGGAGGTCTTACCCATATCGTAGGTCAGTCCTTTGCCTGAATCAGTGGTAGGGGGCACTGACTGGGGCTGAGACTGTGTTTGCTGGGATGCTTGTTGGGGTTGTTGTTGTTGAGGATGGTGATGAGCAGCCTGGGGAGCAGGACTTGCCTGGGCTTGAAGCAGGTGCTGGATCAAGAATTCTTCATCATCATCTACTTCCTCTTGGGATCTCTGAGAGCCAACTCCTAGCATGGAAGTATCCTTTGTTTTGGAGGAGGTGGAGTGATAGGACTGAGCTTGGGTGTTGGGACCTCTGGTGTCGGGGTAGCCCTGCGGAGAAGCAAGGAAAGTAGGGGAGAGGACTGATGAGATGTATTTATTAGAGCCTGCACCACCTGGAGATTGTGTAGGACAGGTGGGCACCGGGGAGTGCAACCCTGGACGGATGATGCCTGAGTTGCCAGATGGAGAAGGGCTGGAGTCCGGAATATGATAAGACCCTCCACCACTGCCGCCTCCACCTCTCTCATTTGTCATACTATTTCCTGCTCCTCCTCCTGAGCCAGAGTTCCCACTTCCTGTGCCGCTACTGCTTCCTCCTCCTGATGCTCCACTTCCCCGATGAACCACTTGACCTTAAAAGGGCAGGGGAGTGACCAGGAGCGCCGTAGCTAAGGGATGGGCTTCCTGCTCCACCAAGTGAGGATGGAAGTGATCCATAAGCAGAGTCAGATCCATAAATATCAGTTGAGTATGACTGGCTCCGTCCTCCTAAACTCCCATAGCCTTTCCCTCCTGTACCAGAGCTTAGGTCTTGGGCTTGTGGTGAGCTGAACCCACCGTAGGACTGAGTCAGGTGGGAGGTAGGGGGCTGATTAGGGGAATATGACTGTGTCTGTTGTTGGGGTGGGGTCTGACCAGTAAGAGCAGAGGTAGGGGTCTTTACAGGGGGCACAGGAGAGCCATAGCCTGAGAGGCAGGATTTGGGGAGAGACTGGGGGGCTGAGGAGGAAGTCGCAGGAGGCTGCTGAGGGGCAGGGGGAGGAGGAGCGGGCTGAGGGGGAGGCTGCTGCCTTGAGGGGGCTGCGCTGGAGCTGGAGGTTGGAATTGAGTTGGAGGGATGAGCCCCAGAGGTAGCAGATGAAGAGGAAGAGGAGGAAGAGGTAGAGGAGGCAGAAGGTGGGGTGTGGGGAGTTCTTGAGGATGAGGCTGAGCTGGCAGAAGAATAGCCACTGCTGGAGCTGCTTTTGGAACCTTTCCCGGCTGAAGAAGAAGAGGAGGAGGAGGAAGAAGAGGAATAGGGAGGCTGGATGATGGGCCGATATTGTTCAGTGCGAGATGTGGGCTTGTGGTCAGATGAGGGGCTCTGGTCACCCAGTGGGCTGCAAGAAAGGCCAGCGTGTCTGTGATGGGAAGCAATCTGCTGGTACCCTGCTCCTCCACAGCTGAGGTAGTGCTGAAGGGAGTGGGCAGCAGAGGATGAGAGCTGAGACTGAGCTGGCGTGGGCCGCTGGTAGTGCTTGATAACGCTGTCCTGGCGAGGTACCGCCCGTTCCTGAGCCGAATTGGACTGGGACTGGGGATTGTGGCTGGGGCTGAGCTGAAGAAAAGACAGATGCATTGTACAGCTGGGACGACTGGTCCTGGAGTTGTGATGACAGCAGGTTGAACTGGTGCGACTGCAAGTGCCTGGCAGAAGAGGCCTGGGCTGATGTGGCGCTCGTAGGATCCTGGCTGCCCCTATAAGCAGCTGCAGCGGCACCCTGCGAGGACAGGAGTCTGTCAAAACCCAGGCTGGACTGGGAAGGGGCCTTGATGTGTAGTAGAGGGTCATGTGGGGAGAGAAGGCCATTGGATGTGGGGCTAAATGTGGGGGTATCCTGGAGGGTGAGGGAAGTGGCAGGGAAAGAGCGGCTTGAGAAGGATGCTGGATGCTGATAGGCTGAGAGAGCTGAAGAGGAGGGGAAGGAGCCGGAGCCAGGAAGGGCTCCGGATATGAATAGTTCTGGAGGAGCAGGCGTGTGCATTGCTGTATGGAAAAGGAAAACAAATTGCAAAATTACTTCCAACATCCAACAGGCTATAACTTAAATTAGTCAGCAAAGACAGAAAAGGAGTCTTAAAAATAAAGATGTTGTAAAGTTCTATATAAAAATGCTCAGATAGCAACACTTAGAATTATAATTCAGCCACACATTCAGGGTCTTTAAATGTCATATTGACTATGGGGCCTGTTTGAATGTCAACACATTAGGGAAGATCTAACATAGCCCCACCTGTCTGCCAGGATGGTGTGCGGAACTGGGAGAGCAGGGAGGAAGCAGAAGGGGGAGGCTGGGGACCCCGGGATTCCAGGGCTGAGATCAGATTCATGACGGAGGCATCTGGGGCTGAGGGGCTGGCATGATGCAGACCCGTGTCAAAGAGCCCCGACAAACCTGTTAGAATGAATGACAGAATCATGACTATTGATTAATTGACAAAAAAATGAAAATACATACAGTAAGTTGCAGATATGTAAATAAAAACATATTTCATAATAAGGAAGTCAAAACGAAGAAGAATTTTTAAATGTAATCTTATTATTTGTTTCATGAATCATGACATCAGTAGTTCTGAGTGTAAGTGGCTTAAATTAAAGCTGACGTGTACAAGTATAAAAACTGTGACTACACGCTTTTTCTGAGATAACCTTTAAAATCTTAGGTTTCCACTCAATTGAGCTATAATGCACACATTTTTCAATGACAATAATCTACCAGGGCTTGAAAGGAGAAACACAATAATTCACTGTTAGGGACCCTGATGGTGGTTACATGGAAGGTATGACATTTATCTTACCCAAACTCCGTCCGGCTGCTCCCCAAGCCCCGCCTTGGCCAGAGCTCCCTGGGTGGTGATTGGTGGCATAGCCCTGCAGAGGGTGTGGGGTGGCGTAGGCTTGTCGGTGAAGAAGCTCAGACTCGGGGTGGGATGATCTGGAACTCCCATACACAAGACTACAGAGAAAAGGAGAGTGTGGAATTGTGAAGTGTCATTCATTTCAGAGAACATCAGTAAATACTTAATAATGTGACCACTGACAAAAGACGATCTAGTCTTAAATCACTTAAATATACACTCATTTTTTTTATTTATTTACATATCCTATCCTCCTGTAAATTCCAAGCTGCTCATCAGTTTGTGCAACCTCTAAGCAGCAGTCTGCATGAGAAAGTAAAATCCCCAATGAGTCAGATTAATGAAGCAAGGAGAAGAAAAAAAAAAAAAACCTTTCACAATTATTCTAAGTGTCAATGAGACATTTTCTGACACTATAAAAAAGTGTGTTACAGTAGACGCAAATCTGTCAAACCAGTCATGCAAAATAGTGGAATACTTTATTTGCATGTGTAATTATTATGCAAAGTCAAACCCCTGCAGAAGTATTTCACTGACTAAATTGGGCTCATAGTCCATCTTTAAGTATGTACCAGTAGAAGAACTTTGCTGTACCAAAGACATTAAATGCGTGGCTGCCTGGCTATCCAGATAACATGGTAGCTGCTGCTGCTGCTGCTAGGATCCACTAGCAGCAGCAGCAACAGCTATGAAATACAGAGACTAGGCCTAAACTCCACGGCCAGTCGTATTTCACGCGTATAAAGACTACTGGAAATGAATATACATATTTAGACCATTTGAAAAAACGCAGCTTCTTCCATTTATACCAGCGACAAACGAGTCATTTGTCTGCTGTCTCTGATTATGTTGATGGAGCTAACAGCTGGATAGTTCAAGTCGACGCAAATGCACGCTAAGCTGCATGCAAACACCAGCAACTAGTCAGGTGTTTTTAGCCATAAATAACCTCCCGAAGAAACGTGATGGCTTTCGGTCATGTCTCGGCCGCTAACCCTGGGTTTAAACATCTGACATATGTGTCGCTAAATAAGATAAAACTATGCTTTAATGTACAGGCCTGAACTGACTTGCATGCAATGTAGCGCTAGCTTTGCATGCTAACTGGAAGCTAACAGGGCTTTTCTTGCACGGTCCGTGCAATTTCATCACATTGTAAAATCCACCCTTGGCATGGGTTGATATTTTTCAGACAGATAAACGAATCGCAAGTGCGAAGCAGTGGTTTCAATCTGAAATTAAATTATGCAAATTAGCACCCAAAACAAACCACAAATTATCTAGATCACGATTGGGCAAAATGAAATGGTAATCTCCAATTGGAAGAGAAATGAGTGTGCATTTTAATATTTGTGTATTTTCTCTTTTCTTCACAACGAACCCGTTTTATAAAAATGTGTCACTGTAGATGCATCCTGCAGGATAACATATATCAGTCCTTCTTGTTGATGTGTGTCAGGAGGGGGGGGGATGCTGCTGTGAGGGCTTTGCTGCGTCTACACTCTTTGCAGCTTCTATCAATCCAGTGAATTTATCTCTCAGGGTCTGAGTCCAGGCCTGCACACAGGGAACAATAATTCCTATGGATGCTCCAGACATCCCCCCCCTCACCACCACCACCTCCACCACCTCCAACCCGCCATGTCCACCTCAAACCCACGTCTGTCAATCACACAATTCACATCCCCAACCTTTCCTTTCACCCACCCCGCCCACCCCCACGACACGCACACACACGGCTCCATTCCTGTTTATAATATTATTACTATGCATCTGTTCGGGTGACAATGCATTACACAAAATGGCAAAGGCATGGCACTATAAACGAACCCATTGGCGACAATTTGTTTACATGGGCCACATCGTGCCCTGCAAAGTGCCAGTGATGCATGCACATTGTCTGAATCCAATGCATACCTTGCTTTAGCCGATCTCTCGTAACTCCATCCTGCTCCTGCGCCCAAATCACCAAACCCTGTTCCCGGGGTAATTTCTATCCATTTACGCGCTGGACAAAGTGTGCGATGTGGACGAAAAGCAACGAGCAGATTACGGGCAAAGCCCCCAGATTTTCCCCCAGTTCTCGGTCTCAGGCTTTTTCCCCCGGTTTCATAAGCAAGTCCTCAGGAGTGGAAAACAGCATATTGAAAGAGAAATGGAGGGGAGGAGGAGAAAGCTGGATGAAAAAAAAAAAAAAAAAAAAAAAAGGGGGGTCTACGAGGTTATAATCCAACCACCTCCAAAAAAAGACAGTCTTTCTCCTTTTCCTGCGTCTTTCACGTTTATCATTTCCACGATTGCTGATTTAGTCCACGCTCAGTCACGGGTCATTGCCTGAAGATGCTGCGGATTTGGGCCGCTGATAAGACGGAGTTGCTGATAAACATTTGATTTGAATGCGTCCTTTTTCCGCCGTCTCTCCTCCCCTTTCTTCGAGCTAGTCTTTGCTACGCTGCTAGCGACAGAAACGATTGCAATCGACGGGCCACGTTGGAAGCAAGCATTCCCCCTCGGACGAGCAAAAGAAATCCCCAATTTCAATTTTTTTTTTCTTCCTCTCTTTGCATGCAAATCGCTCCCACCCCTCCTCCAGAGCAGAGCTGTGGGGCTAGCAGCAGATGCTAGCTGTCAGTAACGTCGCATCAAAATAAAACAGGGGCTGCCTTTATTCCCCCAAATACTCAAAAATGTGTCTTCTTCTGTCAGCTTCTCGGGTAAAAACGACGATGCGTTTGCCCGCTTAAAGAAAAATGCAGTAAGAGCACGACAAAAAAAGACAAAAACCGAACTAGGAAGTGAATAGAAAAGCAGGCCGCGTTTAATATTTTTTCTCATTTTCCTCCAGAGACGCCATTTTTGAAGGCGGCTGGCCGCTGTCCGTCCTCCCTCTCTCTCTTCCTCTCTCTCTCTCTCTCTCTCTCTCTGTCCGTCTCACCGCTGAGACTCACTCTCTGTGTTTTCGGTGACCTCCATTCACCGGCCCCGCAAGCTTTTCCAGATTTTCATCTCATTGATAATGTTTTCTTTTTTTAAATTTTAGCAACATTTTACACGAACACAAATACCTAAGTCAGCTGTGCTCAGTAGGTCGCTGTGATTGGCCGAGGTGCGTTCGAGTGCACAATTATTTCCAGTAATAACCAGACACATAAATGCCCACAGCAAGCGTTCTTCAAATGCACATCCAGAAATGTACAGCCTTGTGTGAGAGACCTGGTAATTTCCTGCCCCTGTCAGACAGACTGGCGTTTTGCCAAAAAAAAAAACCACAATGTCAATATGGGGTATTTTCTCCTTTTAGATAAGCGAGTGTCTAAAAAAAAAAAAAATGAGGCTATTTTAGGCTCATTATAATATTAGGAGAATCTGTCAAACAGGCCTCGTATGTACTTGATTTGTCCGCCAGCAGATGGCACGCTGGATTTTATGGTCATTATAAGGGAGGAGGGTTCACAGAGAGATGCTCTTCTCTTGCTCACATATTTGATGCTTCAACTGCAGATCCTACCAGCGTTTTTTTTTTTTTTTTGATGTACTGTATTTGGCTTGAGCATTATATCAACCCGTTACTATGTGCATTTAAACTCACCGACAAAGATGAGGCCTTGTAATATTTAACAATATGTACACTTGATTCTAAACTAAGTATTTTTTGCTTAATGTTAATGTGATATCTTTATTTACAAGTCGTCATGATGCACCCTCTCAATGGCCTAGATGTCAAGAAATTAATTGTGTTGATGATCTTCTGTCGCCATCTAGCGGCGAATTTCAATTCTGTAAATACTGTAAATACTTCAGCAGTGACATTATCTATACAAATATCTATACATAGTCTCTAAGACTCCATGTAATATCTAGGGGACTTTTATTTTTTACAGTCAAAGCAGTTTATATTTCACTGCTACTACTTCATTTTAGTAACTCAATTTTGTGCATTTAATATCCACCCAAACCATTTAATTACTTTACCTAAAATAAACTAATTATTACAAAGTACAAATTTGACTGTGAACTGAAAAAAGTTTAGTAAATTACTTGCTCCACAAATATGAATAAGGCTGAAATACTCATAATTAGTCCGAGTATAGGATAACTGTAGGGCAGAGATATACAGAAACAACAATTAATGGTTTTGCTGTATTTTTCTAAATAATATACAATGTAATCAGGACATACAAAAATAATAGTTTTGTTATTTTGATTTGCTTCATTACATTCTTTGAATAATCACTGTGTTCACCATGTTTAAACACCATGTTTAAATTGTTCACTTTCCTTGACTATCATATGATGATGATTACAAATGATGTAACATGATGCATTACTATTTTTTTGTTTTAACTTTATTCAATTTTTGGTGCTAGCGTGGATTGAAAAAAAAACGGTTTCTTACTTTTTTACAGGCTAAGATAGAAGTTCAGACATCTAATATTAAATGTGTTGGTTTTTTATCTCAATAATTCTTCCCACATCTGCTTTGTTATATATCTTTAAAGCCCAAATATTCTGTATTATTACAAAATATTCATCTGGCACCATTTTTAAAGGCAATGTCTCTAGTAACATTTTAGTGTTTAATAAAATCTTCCAATTCTCAGTTCAAACTTTCTTAATCCAGCAGTGAAAACAAAGTCAGGCTCCATGGGCTCAAGGAAAATCCTCTCCCCTGTTGTGAGCAGTTTAGATGCATTATAAGGCCTTTGTAATGTAAAATGTGTGACTCAAAAGGTCAGAAAATGCATATTCATTAGCGAGTGTGTAAAACAAAGCATAGGGGTGAAAGAATTTAGGCATACCTAATGGATGAACTTAAAAGGGTAAGAATAACAGAGAAGCAAACATTAGTCCTAGAGGAGAGAGAAAATACACAAAACTCAGAAAAAGTAGATCAAGTAGGATTTTTCAATTCAAACTCTTCTTTATTAATCTCTTGATTCATTTCCATTAGATCATCTTCTTTAAGCTCCTCACACTCCATGTCATGCGTCACCCTTTTCTTTACCTCCCTTACTGTATTTCCCTCCATCTTTGTAACTAATCCGTAACCTACTTCACTTTAACTCGAGCAGCAGCTCACCACTACAAACTCCGCTCTGCTCTGTCAACATGCCAGACTCTACTGAAGCTGTGCCAGCTGCATGCCTTGTCATTAAGGAGGACGTCGACAAGTGGTAAGTTATGACAGGAATGACATTAGATCATCAGTATTATTACTTTTTTCAAAGATAATTTTTCGGGCTTTTTTGGGAGAGACAAGAAATGTTGGGGGAGAGAGTGGGGGATGACATGCACCAAAGTCAGGATCGGGATTCTAACCTGCAACCAGTGTGACGAGTACTGTAGCCCACGTGGGGCGCCTGTTTTATCCACTGCGTTAAACCAAGCCCCACACATACAATAGAGAAAAAAATCATTTTTTTAATGACTCATACATGTTCTGCAGACATTGTGACAACCACTGGTGAGTTTAATTGCCAGTAAAAATTGTCATTGTAAAACTTTTTGCCCTCAAGGAAGCTTCATTTACTCACGTTAAACCATAACTATCTCAAGCTGAATGCATGCACCCATTGATCCCATATTCACTTCTTCTTGCTTGTGGGATCATCATTAAGTCTAATTAGAGTCAGAATACATATTCACATTATAGTGACATTTACATTGAGCTTCTCACAGTAACATCCATGTTTTGAGGAGCAGAAATAGACTGGAGGTTTAAAATAGGCACCCACATGAGAGTAGCAGAACATTCCTGTCGGCTGGTTTTGTGTTACATGTCGACTTTTGGTGCGTGTCCACGTGCAGCAGTGATTAGTGTTAGTAGCGCTGCTGTGCAGATTACACACTCTTCTTCATCAAATGCAGATAAAGGCAGCTGGGGGGGCTTTGAGTTTAAATACTTTATTATCAGGAGAGGAGACACTGTTATAATCCCTGTGATGCACATGTAGCATGAGTCTGAGACATTCTGTCCCTTCTGCACAATTTCAAATGACATCATTTCTAAAGTGTTTTCAATGTTGTTACTTTTCTACCATGGAATTTGTATTATTTTTTAACTGATCCCTACACAAAACCTAGCCAGAGGAGTACAGTTTGTATGTTTTTTTTTTCAACTTGCTTTTTTATGTTACAGTGTCAGAGGAAAAGGTGCAGAGCGCTGTAAAGATCTGATAGATGCCTTCCAAGCTTGTATAAAAACCCTGTCAGAGGGGTCATAACACACAAGAAATACATGCTAATGTAAGTTTACCAAAATGAAAAAAATAATATATATATTTTTTCCTGCATAGGCCTACAGATCATAACTAATCATAAAACAAAAGTCCTGTATCAGACCTCAGTGTGTAACATAGCTCAATGAGATACTAGCTTTTGGTTTTTCCTTTATCATTTTCTTCACATTTCTATTCTTTTGCTGTTTTACTAGACAATCACAAATGATAATTGGTAAAGTATGCCACTGAGTCCTAAAGCTGATCTAGAAAATACACATGTATTGCACAACCGAGGAAAAGAATGTTGATTCAGAAAAGTTAGAAAGACAATTATAAGACAATCTGATTGAGCAAAAATGAAAACCTCTGTAATCCATTTACAATACATACGATACTGTCCATCTTCATTTCCAGGTGTGTTGTTAAATGATGGGTCATTAATGTGTCACCTAGTTCTATTTAATGTTTAATTTAATATTGTTCTGTTGTGGGCTGAATACATTTCAAATTTCAAATTGTGTTGAAATGACAATGAAGAAGTATTGGAATCACATTTTTTCTCACCTCTGTTATGATTCTGCTGATTAATTTTACCATCTTTTTTTATTTTTAATTAATCGCAGCGTTGCTGTATCAAAGACCTCCTCTTCCCAGCATTCCCTTCCTCTTTTGTGCTGGACTGAACCATCTGACAGACTGAAGGGGGGGGGGGGGGTGATGACACTAAGATTCTGATACTATACTCTTCTGTATATGAGACTATTTTTTATGCCACTATACAAACATTGATTATTAATACACTGTAAATCTTGCAGAAATGCAGAAAAATAAATAAATTAAATAGCTTGTGTTTTTTATTACATAGATCATACTGTTTTCTTTTCTGGTCACAGGTGTAACAATGTTAGCATAGTTACATTCTAATAATATCACATGTAGGCTACTAGCTGTTGGAAACGCTGCACTGACCATTCAAATCTTCTACAAGGAAAAGTTACTCTCAATGGACTTAAGAAGAGCTGGTTAATCTCTGCCTAATCCTCACATTAGTGCCTGTTCTCAGCAGTCTATAATGCCACTTTTCCACTCTGCGCTCGAGCTCTGAGAAGACGAGAAAGGACATGAGATTGAATTTTCAGTAGAAATGGGAGGAAAAAGGTGTTCACCTCTTCCATCAAGCTGCTGTCAGGTGAAGGAGACGTTCAGGAGCGAGCTCTGCAGAGACAAAATTAACATGAAGGAGAAAAGTTCATTCTAATTGTGAAAGACATCGATGGTTATAGTATTTTGCAGGTTTATGATAAGAGACAAACATCATTATGTCCCCCAAAACCTCAAAGCTGCAGACTGAGAAGTTTTGTCCTACCTTTTCTCCCTCTCGAGTGACTCATTTGTTGCCTTTATTCTTGTGTTACGAATGCTGTGTGCGGGAAAACTGTTTTTTCTTTCTGTTTGAAATGTTTTAAACTTTGGCTGTCTTTCATCAAGCTGGCATTCAATGTCATCCTGATGAATGCGTATATGATTTCAAAAATGACCACGTATGTCCCATCAGATCAAACCAGAAAATAGTGGGATGAGTATCACTCCCGTTCTATTTGTGCTCTGTGTTTGGAGGCAAATCCTTCTGGCTGCGTGCAAATCAGCCAGCTAGGCGCAGATGAAGATGGGCTTTGGGGAATTATCCGCCCACACACAACATTTCAAATTGAGATTTCAGAGATTTTTCAAGGCACTTTACAGATGAAACATTCAAATGTCCTACTTTAAAAAACAAAATCATCATCTGAGCTTGATTCACTTAAACCATCTGCCAACACTTTTCTTTTCAGTTTCCTCTCCAGATGAGGAGGTGTGATAGGTCACCCAGGAGGTGTGCCCATCACAAAGTACAGCCTATTTTTACTGTAAGTTTCTGTGTCTTTATGCCGCTGGTTGAGGAATGCCGTGATATTTTTCCCATCATTTTCTCATTAACAACAGGAAAGTCTGACTTTTCACTTCCAGGGAACACAAATCTGTAATATTATGTTGGATAGATGTGAGTATTGACGCAGAAGATGACACATGATGTAGTAAATCAGGAAAATGTGTCTGTAAGATTTGACAATTGAGACTCTGTGCTATTCTGTGAGATGTTTACGTGACATCAGCCCTCAAATATATATTAAAAAAATCCACATTAATTGAAATCCTTATAGAAACTATGTTTATATTAAAGACCAAAGTATATAATTTAGAGGTAATTTTCTGAAGCCAGACAGGCCTACCGAAAACATGGAACCACCATTGAAACCCATTTTGTACAGCACTTGTACTCTTTTAATTAAATATCAGAAACAATAACGAAAGCTTGAACATTATCTTTTGAAAAAAACGATTGAGGATTGTTAAGAAGTATGAATTATGGTATTATTATAAGCTATATCATTATATTTAAGCAGTGTTCTGCTGCCAGTGCTCCTGTACTGCAACATGAATCATATTATGTCGGATATATTACTCAGACAACAGATTATTGTTTGTGAACACAATGTCATTTTATAATTGTGCTCAAGTATTAAATACATACTTTCAACCATTGGTAATGTGGTATTTTCTTCACCAAGTAATTGCTATGCACATTTAAGTAAAATATCCCAATACATCTGGGGACATGCTTCACCTGTACTTTTGCACTTCTTATCAAATCATATATATTTTTTAAAAACACCACCTGTGGGAAATCACCAATGGGCCTACATTTAAGGGCCATTATCCGAGTCAGCAACCCAGCGTCCTCGGCCGGGCCGCGTACCAATCCGCTGCCTCTGGCGATGTTTACAAATGTCTGCTGTTACAGTGATGTTAATAGTGATGGAGGGGTCCGCAGCAGATCACAGCGGGGGGGGGGGGGGGGGCAGTGTGTCCAGGACTGAGGTGAATGCAGAGATAAGCTTATTTTGAGGAAGATGATCAGGAGGAGGAGGAGGGGAAGGGGGAGGGGGGGAGGGCAGGGGAGGAGAGGAGAGAGGATGGGGAGAGAGTGGGACCCGGATGCTGATGCGAGTGAGACGAAGGAAGGAAGAGGAGAGAGAAAAATATCGATTTACGGCAAGAAAACCGAAGGGGAGTATAATACAAGGGGGGGCCTTTACCCTGCGTGAACTATAATCAGAAGTGAGGAGGGGAATAAGGTAGTCGATAATAGTGCGGGTTATTCTGCGGGCGTCTGTTTTGTGTGTGTTTTCTTTTACCTGAGTCTCCGCCGGTGAGGGACGAGGAGGAGGAGGAGGAGGAGGAGGAGGACACGCCAAAGGAGAGAGAGAGAGGAGAAGATGCTGTGATCCGCTACTTGCAAAGCAGGGATGTAGAGAGGGGGACGACGGGGAGAGGCAGGGCGGGGGAGCACGAACGCTTAAGGATGGTTTTTTCGGCAGGAAATATTGCGAGAATGCGGCGGCCGTGTGATCAATCTTACCGTTTGGCGATGCCCGGAAACTCCAGGAGGTGTTGGTCTTTTTGACAGTCGGCCGCTGGTCCAAGGCGTTTAAAGCTAAAAGCTAGCCTCGCTGCTGTGTGGGAGAGCGGCGGCGAGGCTAAAATAGCATGTTGTTGCACCTGTAAAAAAACAGGCCTGACAGACAGAAATAAACACATTTTATTTTCATTTGCTAACATCCACTTGGAGTATTAGACGTGTTGGCTGGCATACTCCTCCGATAATTGACTAATATTTCTCAGCAGACAGTGAATTCAAGGCTCATTTATAAAAAAAGAAAAAACGTCAACGAGTTGTCGATGAGCGTCAAACAGTGAACGTCGTGCAAGTTTGAGTCATCTAATGTACAGAAGTGAGGTTCATTCACCTTGCCATGTTTATCTTTAAAGTAGTTGTCAGTATTTAACACATTTAAAAAAAAAAGAGTAATGAATTAAGTTTTTCTGCTTTAATCTACCAATAGCAAGCTGTTTTGTTGATTATAAACGTCATGTATGTTTAACGTGCTTCAGAAATACAATATTTAGCCATGTTTATCACCTAGGTTTTAGATGAATAATGTCCATTCGACATCCAGATGTTTTAAATCAACATCAGTTTGATGCTCCCACGACTCCAGAGTAGCAGTGTTGTCACTGAAATCAGAAGTTGTTGTGATCCAAGTCCAGCAGCAGCATCCCTGTAAACCACGGTGACTTTGGTATAAGCTGAAAAATATCAAAGTAATTGCAATAAAAAAAACAAAACTAAAAAAAAACAGTGCAGTAGTAGTAGTTGTACTGTATTAGCCTGCAGTGAGAGCAGTATGAGTAAGGAACTGTCTCTAGGTCAGTCAGCTCAATATGTTGGGCCCTACCGACTGGAGAAAACACTGGGGAAGGGTCAGACGGGTGAGTACTTCCAGCTGTTTTTCTTTTTCTTTTTTTTAATGCGAGAATGGATATTATACCTTTGTTTATGTAGAAATAGGATTTCTGCTGTATATGATGATTTTTTTGTATGTCTCATGTCCATCTGTGTGTTTTATCTGTCTTTCAGGACTGGTCAAGCTCGGGGTCCATTGCATTACGGGTCAGAAGGTAGCGATTAAAATAGTCAACCGAGAGAAGCTGTCTGAGTCCGTCTTGATGAAGGTACAGCACCAGTATGACGCTGTTAATGTTGGGCTCGCGGTGATGATTACCAATTTTGTAAGCAGCCAGGTGTTAAAAATGTCCCTTTGCTCCTGTTTTTTTTCTTTCTCTCCACCAAGGTTGAGCGGGAGATTGCCATTCTCAAACTGATTGAGCATCCACATGTGCTGAAGCTGCATGATGTGTACGAGAATAACAAATATCTGTGAGTTCATCCTTCCTTTGAAAGAGCCTCGGAAACATTCACAGTGCAGCCTGCATGTCTTTCACATTGAACCCTGGAGTGAGATGGGTATAAATATTACTCTATGAACTATATTAAACCGCTCTCATCCCTCTTAATTTCCGCTTTTCTTTCATCCGCTACAAGTATTCTGAAAAGTTTTTGATCTATCTTGAGGAAAGAATACTCCCCCCTGATGCTTTAAAGCTGTTGAAGAGCAGCTGTGGGAATAGGCAGGCGGAAAGTGAGGACATAAAACATGATACGTTGAAACTAACATCATAAATTAATGTCTAACTGTTTTAAAAGAGTTTCTGAGGTTAGATTTATTGTGTGTGTGTGTGTGTGTGTGTGTGTGTTGGGGGGGATAATTTGTCTCTGGTTATAAATCACACTGTTGTCCTGTGTGTGGAAAGGTACCTGGTTTTGGAGCATGTGTCAGGAGGAGAGTTGTTTGACTACCTGGTGAAGAAGGGCCGACTGACTCCAAAAGAGGCCAGGAAGTTCTTCAGGCAGATCATCTCTGCTTTGGATTTCTGCCACAGTCATTCCATATGGTTGGTTTTTGCTTAGAGCAGCACTTCTTAAACGAATGAGGGTGTGGGTCATCACGTGTAGGGTGGAGGTTGGGTTCCTCTGCTAGCTTTGTTGAATTGTAGGCCTTTGGTGTTAAAAGGGAAAAAACAATATGAATCCTCTTTTTCAAACCAGGTATAATGTTGCTCGAAGATCAATCTTTTTTTTTTGTTGTTGTGTGCAGTCACAGAGACCTGAAGCCCGAGAACTTGCTCCTGGATGAAAAAAACAACATCCGTATCGCTGACTTTGGCATGGCCTCCTTACAGGTGGGAGACAGCCTGTTAGAGACCAGCTGTGGGTGAGTATCAACTTACAGAAACAATGTGAGAACACAAAAGGGGGCACATTTAAGTGTTTTAGTAACTTACAGTGTCAATCAAGTCATTACATTCTTCACAATAAAAGAGTGTGATCGTTACAACAGAATCCTAAGATATCACATAAACAGTAATATTTGTGCCATTAAAAAGTAAAGAAAGTCACTGCTCGGTTTTTCCAGAATTGTAAAGAAAAGTAATGACTATTTTTTGATTTTAGATCACCACATTACGCTTGTCCTGAAGTCATACGGGTAAGTCTTCTGCTTTTGTCATCTTTAAATGTTGGTGCCTATTAACTGAATAAGCAAATGATGTTAATCAATTATTCATTAAGTGGCAATTACGTAGTTCTAAAGCTGCGGGCTCATTTTTTTTCAAAGTTGTAAAACAGTCTTATTGAATAGAGTCACTTGAGTTTTCTTTGAGTTGGTCGATTCTTGACGGCGTACAACGAGCACGTCTTCCGGTCATAGTGAAGAAAAGATTCACTGCATTTCAATTCATTTGAATCTCTTGTGGAGATCATTTATAGGCGTAGACAAACTTTAAACGAGACAAACGAAAGATTCTCTCTTTGAATGAGATCAATATTGATTGTGATTTGGTGTTTCGCAAGGGGGAGAAATATGACGGGCGAAGAGCAGATGTGTGGAGCTGTGGGGTCATCCTCTTTGCCCTGCTGGTGGTAGGTCCTTTAATCCTTATATCACAGTACAGTTTGGTCCCATTGTGAAAACTCTTTCAGTGTAGTTTCTACTTACCGTACCTCCCTCCTCTGTTTTTCCTGTCTTTTTCCTTCTTTCCCCCCCATTCTTCTCTTTCACGTCCAGGGCGCCCTGCCTTTTGACCATGACAACTTACGCCAGCTCCTGGAGAAGGTGAAGAGCGGCGTGTTCCACATGCCCCACTTCATCCCCCCGGACTGCCAGTCCCTGCTCAAGGGCATGATTGAGGTCAACCCTGAAAAGAGGCTCTCGGTACGAGACTAAGCTTACACAGGGAGTTTTAACAGCAACTAATAATGGCAGTCAGAATCACCTCTACTTCTTCTCTCTACTTTCATATCATATTTGTACTTTCCTATAACCAGGCCAATAGCTAGTACGTCTTTAATAACTATAGGCATTCTATGTTTTCTATGAACCCTGTATAAATATCACTTCTATGGTTGTTGTAGGTTCTGGCTTAGTGCGCTGAAGAAAGCTGCCTATCATGTCCACTAGAGAAGGATTCCTAAAACTTGAATATAAGATTACTTATTGTGTGCTTTTTCACAATCAGAATGACCAAACTTTAAATTTACAACGTAAAACCTAAACTGTTTAGTTGTGAACTGAGATGCTAAAGTTTTGCTAGCTTTGACAAACATTATCCTCACCACATGTTACCTGAAATGAGTTCTTCTTTGCCCGCCCGTAAAAACAATAGTATCTTGTCCAAGCCATTAAATAAATATTGCTTTGCACGTAGGCTCTTATTTTGGAGAAGTCAAAAGGGGTAGCTTGTAAATGATGGCATGGATCAGAGCATTGGATGTATCAGAGGCATTTCTGATTCTTGTAATTGTATGGGAACAAGTCGCCTTTTGATTATGTTTGGTTTGAAATAATCTGTTTCATTGGCTGCTTTTTGATTTGCTGTAACTGCACTCTTGTTCATTTTTTTCTTACAGTTAAATAGATAAGATATACTTCTGAATTTACATCGGATGATTCATTGGGACATCTATGCTTGTACTTTCAGTTGCTGTGGTGTTAGACGTGGCTTGTTTGTTGTATTTAAGCACTGATTACAATGATAATATTAAGTATCCAGTAGAGTTTAAAAAATATGATTTGAAGTATTTTTCTTCTTCTAATGTACCAAAAAAAATGGTTCAACAACATTTCTCCATTTCCCTTAGTGACACGTGATTTTTTTTTTGTTGCAAATACTGATTTAAATATACAATAATCAGAAGTCATGAGGTGTATTTTGCATACGTAAAGAAAAAGGGAATGTGGTGTTTACACAGCGTTGCTCTGTGGCCATCTGGTTGTTAACAGACTGTAGGAACTAATGGCCCCATCTGCCCCCTCCCCCCTCCTTTCCCGTACAGCTGGAGGCCATCCAGAAACATGTCTGGTATCAGTGAGTAAACATTCATTTTTATATACATGACTTCTGCAACAAATACTCAGTTACAGTGTTGTAGCATGCATTATATTAACTCTCAATCACTATTTCTGTGTCATTCATGTGTGTGTTTCATTGTCTGCTACCTCGTGTGTGTTTGTGTGTCTCCCAGGGGTGGTCGTAATGAGCCGTGTCCAGAGCAGCCTCCTCCCCGGCGAGTGTGTGTGAGGCGAATCTTGTCCCTGACTGAGCTGGACCCAGATGTGTTGGACAGCATGCACTCGCTCGGATGTTTCCGAGACCGAGTCAAGCTCACACGTGACCTGCAGTGTGAAGAGTAAGTCTTTACATGATGATGCTGCTCAGTGGTCGGCTGCACACTGATAGAAAAGTTGTGCAACATAAAACAACGAAGCAATCATGCAATGCACACAAATGTCTTTGATTGTAAATGAAAACAATCAAATCAAACAACAATCCACATGTAAGCAGAGAACCACAGACCTGTGACAACCACAAACAAAATATACTGATTAAAGTCACATTATCTTGATAAATAAAAGTAACTGAAAACTAAAACAGTGAAAACATGACAAACTTTTCTCAAAAAACAACATTTACATGCATTTACCTTAGGACTGCTGTACCTGACTGTGTACTAGACTTATAATATTATCCTGGTTAACCCATCAAGTACTTGCTGGATTTTTACCCTGCCTATTCTGGACCGACATCCCATGGGAAATTCCTGATCTGCAGAGTTAAAACATACAAGATGGCAGAAAGACTGAAGCTAGATCCTCCAAAAGATAACACCTGTGACCATCATGGGCTGTCATGTCCGCCCCAAGAAAATGATCTAGACTAAAAGCTGTGTGTGATGGAGGAGTCAGGGGCTGTTTTTCTACTTCAAGGTAAAGAAACAAACCAAAAAAAAAACCGCTTTTGACATCAAAAGAATGTGAGATTTAAATCATAGACTGTGTTGTGCTTTTGAGGATCCAGCTTCTGAAAATACTGCAGTTTTGAACGTACTGTGAATCCATGTTTGTGTGAATATAACCACGTTGGTGTTTTTATCCCGGTTCAAAATAATTCTTTTCGAAATAAGCATGTCCTCACACGATTTTCTTTGTCACCGTTTGTTTCAGAGAAAACCAGGAGAAGATGATCTATTACCTACTGCTGGACAGGAAAGAGCGCTACCCAAGCTATGAGGACGAGGACTTGCCTCCGCGTAATGACGTAGGTAAGTCTTTAGGGGGCAGGAGGGATCCACTCAAGGGAGGGTGCTGCTCTTCTCAGTATCTGAGCGGAGCAGTCTGGGAGCCTGGTGCCAAACACAGGTAGTTGTTTCCTATGCCTTCAAATGTGTGATCATTTGATGTCATACTTTAAATGACATCACGTTTTGGGGAATTACTTCACACTGAAAGCCTTAAGATGAAGAAATAACTGCTGCTGCCATCTCCATAATTAGCAACAATACATGATGTGATTTGAAAGACACAGATTTCTATGTTATTTTAGATGGTAAAGGCCTCGCAAGATTTGTTCCTGTGGAAGAAGCCCTTTCAACATGATCAAACCTTTAGAACAGCACAAGAGAAAATACATGCACAGTGACAGAGTGAGAACAGGGGTTGGGATGGTGAACAGGAAGCACAAAATCAGCAACCATCTTTTTTAAAAGTGGTGTCATGTCCTCGTGGCAGAGTCACAAAGTTTAATGTTGCGTTCAATTCTTTTTTTTAAATTGCTGTAATAAATAAATAAATAAATCCTGTATGATGAAACTCCTCAGCAGACCCTCCTCGAAAGCGTGTCGACTCTCCTATGCTGACGCGTCATGGCCGCTGTCGCCCCGAGAGGAAAAGTCTGGAGGTGCTGAGTGTTACTGAACAGGGGTCTCCTACCCCGCCTCGCAGGGCCCTGGACACAGCTGCACACAGCCAGAGGTAGTGTATATTATTCTTACTCTTATTAAGGAACACACTTTACCAGGAATACATTGGGTCACACACAGTTATGTATTTTTTGGCCTCAGGTCTCGCTCAGTCAGCGGAGCATCAACCGGTCTCTCCTCCAGTCCTCTCAGCAGTCCCAGGGTAAGGGCCTGATGGCCATCCTTAGACAAGCTGTACATGAGCAAGTGCTGCTGCTTCACTACCTTTGAACATGTTACGAGCCTGCTAAATTAAACTGCTTGGTATTTTTATTAAACTGTATTGTTTCACTCCCCCTGTAAACTAGTAGCGCAGCTGTAAAAGGACAGGTACCTTATCAGAAGTTAGTCAACCATAGGAAGAAAGTTTTGCCTACCATATTAATCCCAGATTCCCCCTTTGAATACATTCTGTTTATATTGAGTCCATGTTTATTCCAGTGGGTGGGTGTGAGCTGTCTTTAAATCAGATGTTATGTTGGATTTAAGGGTGTTACTGACATTAAGTCTGGACTTGGGAATCATTCTCTTTTTAATGACCATATATTTCCATATCAACATTATATGTTTTATAATTATATTGATATGGAAATATATGGTCATTATGGAAATATACAGTCAATATGATGTTTTTTACACATCATCACTGCACCAGTCTCTCAGGTAAAGTTCCTAAACGAGACAGGATCTGTCTTCTGTCTCCATGCCACTTCTCTTCCTCACCCTGCATGAGCTTGCTGTTTTATTAAAAGTTGAGAAATTTAAGATTGAACTTTCAATTTGATGGTTGCTTTTTGTTTATGTGATACTCTGCTTTATTATTCATGTTGAAATTGTTTTAAAACAGTCCATAGATGATAAAAAAATTAGTATTTCTGCACAGTCAAAAGTTCACTTTCACTTGTTGTTTGTCACTGCATTCTTAACCCTTTCACTGCCACACTGTCACTAAACCCTCACTCACTTATGATACACATTCAGCTAAAGGCCTCAATAAAAGCTTTTATAGATGTATTGCACTTGACACTTTCACTTCTCACAGGATGCACTCTCTTTTGTCATGAAGCATGATATTCATTTCCATCCTTTCTCCATTTTCCATCCCCTCTCTTTCTTGTTATCCATCTCTCCAACCCACAAACCCACTCCCCACCCCACCCAGTCCTATCAGAGCCCCGTCTTCACTTTCAGCCAATCAGATGTCACCTCTGCCACCGCTACCCCCCTCACAAAGGAGCCCAAACAAGGAAGCATCACCACTCCTCGCTCAGTTCGGGCTCACGACAAGCCTAAAGCCCCCCCCAATCCAAAGACCCAGACCCTGCCCACCAAGGGACCTGCGGAGCGCCCCCACCTGCAGCCCATCAAATCCTTGCCTCTGCACAACCCATCCTCCCGCTCACCCTCCCCTTCTCCGCTTCTGTCACCCATCCCCCGTTTTTTCTTCCCCTCGTCCTCTGTCCTAAAGTCAGTGACTAAGAGCTTCTACCCAAACTCTGCCCACTCTGTGCCGCAGGTCACCCCCCAGGGCTCTCCGTTGCCCACACCTTTGGGCACCCCTGTCCACCACCCTCACCACCCCTCCTCCACCCCGCCCTCCTCCTCCTCGTCCTCGTCCTCCTCACGGGCGGAGGGAGGGGGTGGGGTAGGCTCGCTGTCGCTGACCCCGCCCTCCAGCCCAGGGGGGGGAAGCGGCATGGCCGCCAGCAGCTCCGCCCACTGGAGGACACGCCTCAATTCTTTCAAAAACAACCTGATGGGCTCGCCGCGTTTTCATCGACGCAAACTACAAGGTGAGATGTGTTTGGAATGATGGCTTCCAACTAGGGATGCCCTGATGTGTAGGCTGAACATCGAAATTGGCCGATATTGGACCTGCTGACAAACATTGGTCCACCGAATAGTGGCTGATGTAACCGCCTGCGGCATCAGAACAGAAGTTTTTTATTGGGGCAGAGGGGCTCCACATGTTTACATTCATAGTCAAACTGGAAAGAGAACGTTGGCAGTGTGGGAGTCTTATGGCTCGCGTCACATTTCAAGAGGAGGCACTACTGACAACAATTTAGTACATCAAATTGCATCGCACATTTGAAAAAAGACCCAAATGATGAAAATAAATACTTTAAAAAAAATATCATTATCAGGATCGGCAATCTGCTAAATTGTTATTTTAAACATTGGTATCATTATTGGCCCTGATTTTCACTACTGGTGCATCTCTGGTTTTACAGACAAACCACAATCTGCACAGGTATGGTACAATACAACAAAAAGTGGTAACATTTTCTGTTGAAGAATACGCTGTTTAGACGGCTTATATCCTGGAAGACAGAAGTATGACATTAAAACAGCAGTTTTGGCTTCCTTGCATGATGTGAGAGGAAAAATTGCCGCCATGTGAATATGGTTAACAGACTTTATTGAACTCATTTTTCCTCTTTTCCAGATGAATGTTTAGAACTTTTTACAAGAGTGTCTTATCTCTTTCAGTTCCTACATCAGAAGACATGTCCAGTCTAACACCAGAATCAAGCCCAGAGTAAGTCCTTGATGTCATTCATTACTGATGTGTAACAATACAAAGCTTTTGTGTTGGTTTCTGTTGATGTTTTTTTTTTTTTTGCTACCAGGCTGGCTAAGAAGTCGTGGTTTGGGAACTTCATTGGCTTGGAGAAAGAGGAGCAGATCTTTGTGGTGATTAGAGACAAACCTCTGAGTTCTGTAAAAGCGGACATTGTCCACGCCTTCCTGTCTGTGAGTATCTGATGAGTTCCGTCATTCACGTCTCTCACTGTCAAAGCTTGTTTTGTAAAAAGCATGGCTCTCTCTCAAAAAGCTGTAAGGTCTTCAAACAGTCATACTTTACGCACTTCATTTCTCTCATTTTTTTCTGTTTTCTCTATTTCTAATCTTGCTCACTTGTGGCACGTGTGATGAATCACTTTTACTTTCACCAATGGCTCACTCTTTCTCTCTTCTCCTCACCCTCACCCTTTGTCTCCCTATACTCACGTTTGCCCCTGAACCTCTCCCGCCTCGTAAGTCTGTCGGTCTCTCTGCTTCTTCTCTGTCTCCCTACCACGCAGATCCCGTCGCTCAGTCACAGCGTTCTCTCCCAGACCAGCTTTCGAGCCGAGTACAAGTCCTCCGCCGGTCCCTCCGTCTTCCAGAAGCCCGTCAAGTTCCAGGTGGACATTGCTTTTTCCGAAGGCGAGAGGGAGCGGGACAGGGAGAGGAGCGAGAGGGAGGGCAGGAGAGAGACAGGGATCTACAGTGTGACGTTCACTCTCATATCAGGCAAGTGGAGCAAACATCTAACCCATTCCACTGGGAAATGAATAAAGCTTCATGAATTTGGATGTATCTTTGCCTCATACACAAGTTGTTCCAAAGCAGAGAGTTATTACCAGCTGTAATAATCTATGATACCACAGGACAAAGCCAGGCTAGCCTATTCACCACATTTTCACTCTTGCTAAAGTAAGCAAAGCTAACCAAAGACTTGGCGGTAGCCTTACTGTATATTCAGTGGACTGATATGAAAGCCAATCTGTTTAACTGTCAAACAGATAAGATTAAAGAAGCGAGTTTGAGGAACAGAATGTGTTCTTTAATTGCAAGTTTATCAGAAATGTCTTAAAAATCTAAATATTGTCACTTTAAAGGTTTATTTTACAGCTAAATTAAGCATTAATGCATCTGAGAGGCTTGTATTCCCAAACGTTTGGAAAACTATCCATGGATATGGATCAATCCATTGATTTGTTAAACAAAGATCCAATCAAATTGCTAGAAAGTCAAAACATCGACATACAACGCCCTTTGAAATTCCCACCGCAAGCCTGTTTCACAGTTTCCGCCCAGCTGCACATCAACCAGAACTTTCTAAAGAAGCTACCGGCAAGCGGACTGCTGATGTTACTCTGCACTCTCTTAGGTGGCTACATTATGTACTACCGGTCACTCGAGAGACCTGCTGTGATAACAGGATCACAAGAAAAACTATCATTAATATAAGAAATATAGCGTTGTTTTATAGAATCCGGATGGTGTGAATTATTTCCGTGCTGATCTGATCTAAGCAGGACGACAGGTCCCTCCCTCTCTCTGTGTAAAAGTGCTTTGAATAGTCAGAAAACTAGAAAAGTGCTATATAAGTTCAGATCCATTTACCATTAAATGCAGAAACAATAACTATGCAAGTCCACATGTCTGTTGAAATTAGAAAAAGGGACACAAGACGGGATCATGATAAAACAACCATGGTGCAGAAAAAGCATAAATTAGTGCCTTGAAATTGATCACAATCCAGGAAAAAAAAAATTGTGTTTGAAAGGAAATGTTTGGTGGTTAAAAAAGAATTCAGTTATATTCCATAAACACACAAAGAGCACTATCAGCTTTGTAATCATAAGTGTATTTGAAATGTTACAGATTGTGTTAAATGGGTACATAGAATCGAAATCGATCACTGGCCCTGGTATAGAATCTAATGAAAATTGTATCACGGAGGACTTTGTGATATCGGCAAAAATCTCACCGTTGTCTAAAGAATATATATGATATCATATCGTTGGGAAACTGCAATTAAGGCTGGGGTCCGATCGAGTGTATCTGTTTGGCGCTGAAACCCAAGCTTGGTTTGCATCAACGTCATTATTTTTAGAACAATACTTAGCCCATATAACATGCTTGATTTGGTGCATCTCCAGGCCCGAGTCGCAGGTTCAGACGAGTGGTGGAAACGATTCAAGCTCAGCTTCTCAGCTCTCATGATCAACCCATGGTGCAAGCCTTATCTGGTAAGACTGCTTCTACTCAACTGTGTGCACACAAGAGAAAGAAATGTGCACTTTTCAGCTATGACTGTATTGTACTTCTAACTAACAATGACACTGTTTTCCTTTTTTTTTATATTCTTCTCTTTCATTTTTAAAACTTTTCTTAACAAATATCCTTGATTTGATGTTCTAACCACATGATTCCTACTTCTTTCATAGTGCTGGAAACTTCTTCTTATTACATTTACAGGAGAGGATGTTGCATTCTTCAGCTGTGCCTAACACACCTAATCCATCTGCTTTGATATGGTTATTATCTGTTTAAACATAGCTGATTATGTTTTCTAAGAATGCCTCTAAAACGTCAAAGCTTCCCTTTCCCCCTACAGTTGCAGAGTCCGAAGGAGAACAGAAGTTTCCATCTCTACACTTGTGTTGATTAAACAGCTTGCTTGTGAATAAAACAACAGATCGAGCTAATGTGAAGCCCTTTGGGCGTGTAGATATTGCTGCTTTGTTTACGTAAAGAGTGACTTTCCTGTCCTTGCCTACTGATCCCTTCCCAGATGAGAAGAACGGCCGACCCCACGGGACCCCCACCCGCCAAAACTCCAGGCGTTCCGAGGGTGGGGGTGACAGGTGCGAGTGGGGCGATCGGGTCGATGGCGGAGGTATCGGAGGCAGCGGGGGAGTTCTGCAGCGCAGAGGCTCAGCGAAAGAGAGAACCCGACTGCTGTCCTCCAATGGAACCCAGTCCCAACCGTAGGATAGAAAGTGAGACTACGCAGAAGGATGCCTGAACTACACTGGACAGAAAACAGTGTAACTCCATCTCCCAAGTATCCCTGCAAGCCATGAGCTACTCCTTTTCTTCCTAGACTAAGTTATGAAGGTGCTTGACCATAGCAAGGATTGAGCCTATTCCCCCCCGTCATGCTTTGTGTCCCGACTCAACATACTTTTGATCTGTTGGATCACCAGGATTCCTGCCCTTACATGAGAAGGAAGTGTTTAGGAATCACCCTTTAATGAAAATAATAATATTTGAATGAGCAGTTTGGTATCCTTCATAGATACAGCTTCACAGATCAAACAAACTAGGAATTTTGAAGTGCTAATGTGCATGCCAGTTAGCAAATCAGCCTGCTAAAGGATGCTGAAATGATCAGATAGGCTAGTCTACCATATCATGATAATACAGTATCCGACACCAAAAAGAGTCTCTTACAATTAACCAGTGCGCTCATATCATTATCAAGCAACATGCAAATACGAGTCCATACTGAAAGAATTATAGATGTACCCTAAGAGTTAGCAGCCTGCTCCCATCTCAGTGATGAGCTGAACAAAAAGGTCCTGATTCCCTCAGGAGATACGGCATCCTGGAACTCCTGCAGTGTCTTCTCCAGAGGTAAAGAAAACCAATAAAGTAAGCTAAGTAAGTGAATGTGAAAAAGAATATTTTTTTATTTAGTTTTATTTATGTTTACATGTTTCTTTGGAGGATGTCAGTAGCACAGAGATAGCAGTAAAGATAGACTGAAAACACTCTGCAGTGTTGAAGAGGGGGAAGCTGACTAGTCGCTCTTTTGATTCTCTTTGTACTTTAATTTTACTCAGAGACAATACCGAGCAATGCACCTGAGATTTTTGCATTGGACCCCATGTTGCTCTGAAGAGAAGTATTTTTGATTTGAACAGAAATATGAACATAACTATATGAAAAAGAAAAAAAAGAAAAAAAAAACACTACGCGTGAATTGTTCCATGAACCTCATCACAGCTGTTTGTGCCCCGATTGAATGAGCAAAGCGATCAAACACAAGCCACCTTTCTCATTGAGCTTGTCTCTTATTGCCATAGTATTCACATACTGACTCAGAACAAAAAAAAAAGAAAAGAAAAAGAAACAAGAAAAGGATATTCTTAAATGGACTACTCCTAACGCCGAACTTTCAAGGTTTGCCATGTCAATTCCCTTGTTTAACAGGACTTCAAAAATGGAAAAGCAAAAGCGGAAGAGTCTCCTAACCCCCCCCCCCGCGCCCTTCACTGCAGTATTCACCAACGAGCCAAGTAGTCCATCGCTGCACCCTCGTTCACCACAGAGAGTCACACCATTCTGCAAACGGACGTAGCAGCTCGGGACGGTCACGTTATCCTCCAGCACTCTGTCAGACTAGTCGATGTTCATCACCAGTCTTCCATACAGCACAATATGCAACAAAAGTGCAGAATGTTTTCAGTGAGATTTATGCTACTGTTCTGTTCATTTTGACCTTTTTATGTTGCCACTTATCTGTCCTATTTATTTGCATTGTTTATATAAAGACATGTCACATTTATTTATTTAAATTTTATGAAATTGTATTTATTAATATTTATTTATGTATGTATTGGTCACTTCAGTGTGTCATGTACATGTTTATTTTTTACATTTGATGTCAACAATACATCCAGAGCTAATTTAAGAAAATCAGTTCTCTTTAATTTCTCATTAGCCCTCTTTCTGTTAACCCTTCGTTCCACGCTCAACTCTGATAGCAGTACTGACTAGTTGCTCTCATCTTCCTTCTTCAGTGATCTTTGTTTATATCTCACATCTGTCTTGTGACGTTTATCTCTGGTAACTGGAGTGTGTGTGTGTGTGTGTGTGTGTGTGTGTGTGTGTGTGTGTGTGTGACGACAGCTAAATGTGAGTGAGCTGACAACTTTGCAGCAGCTGCACTTTGAGCTGATTACATCCAGAGATTTTGACTGAACCCAGGAATATCAAACACGTCAAACGCAATTATAACATATTCAAACCCTAACAGGCACATGATTTCTCTCTCACACGATGAATGCTTGCTGATTTCGCTCCATCTCTTGCTTTAATGCCTTGTCCCTTTGACCCGTCCTGTCTGCCTCTTCACCTGTCGCGTTGCCATCCTCACCAGAGAAACTGTACAAAGTCGTTTGCCTCACTGTCCGTACACACGTTATGATTGCTCACCATCACCACTTTCATCTTTCTCATCACCACATCACTTTCATTGACCCAACTCTGGCTAAGATTGTAAACTATTCTCCATTCATAAGGGTCAGTAGAGTAAGGTGTTTAAAAAAAAAAAGAAATGTCTGTATCATAATTTAAATATAAAAAGTGCACTATTATAACTATTGCCTGTGATTAAAAAAAAGAACAATTATGATTGAAGTGATGGTCAAAATAAAGAGAGATCCACCTTATTGTTATGGTTATAATAATAAACCCTAAATTCATTTGTGTGTCTGTTTGATTTCTGGGTTGAAACGGTTTCATTTTTAATTGGATGTTTATTCTTATTTGCTGAAAAAGCTTCAACTTAAGATGAGTTGTTTTCTGTATGTGAACACTTTTTTTTACGACAATATAAAATAAAATAAATAAAAATAATATAAAAAATAAATTTCAAGCTAGATACAAGAAGCAATATTCAAAAATAAGATCTGACAATTACTGCTTAAAAGCTAGTGGAGGTTGAAAAAAAATATTTTTTTAAACTTTCTTCTGTCCTCTCACATTTACATTTTAACCTTAGCATTTTGACAAAGACTACAATGATTCTCCGCCCCTTGAACGTAACAGCTCCGGCACTCGAGAACCAATTGTCACTGCATAATCGCGACATTTCCGACAGTCGCTGAAGGCAGCATCATCTCCATCCAGGCGAGCATCTGTAGTAACGTTACAGTTGATCAGAGGAGAGGAGGGCCGACCGAGCCGACCCGACCGGGTGTTTTTGATCGACGCTAGAAGTTATCAGTCGGTTTATGCTGCTTAGGTTTGCTTTCGAGATTTCCTGAACAACAACAGGTATGCTAACAGGATGCTGACATCGTTGTAACGCGTTGCTATGAAACACAAACGCATCTTTCCCTGAGCCGTCTGTACGTAACTAGCTAACTACATAATGGGCAGGGCGCTCGGCTAGCCTGCACTAGCAGCAGCTCGTAAGCTGTAGTTAAAACGTCAGCTAGTTAGCTCTGACGACCACCAATTGGCCTTTAAATATATAAGCATTATAGCTATTATAAGCTTTGTGCTGACAGGTGTATTCAAATTACGGCTTATGCCTTCACATGTCAGTATATCACTGTTATCTCTGCTGTATTGGATGTAAACTGGTCACGACCTAACAGGACATTTCATTATTTATTTTCTTTCAAAGCTTTGGGTGCAAACTAGCTTGTTCATCTACTGTGCTTTTTAACTTTGCTAAATTGTTTGTTAAATATCAATATTAAATTGCTCAGAGTTTCCAAACACTAGTTTTTTTGCTTGTGACATTTAAAAACATGCACATCCCTGCACATTAATCCATACTGTCATCTGTTCTGCTCATGTTAAATCTACAAATGATCCCTGCACTCATGTTCACTGCACTCATATATTGTGTAGTTTCTGCTTATAATATGTCCACACTCATGCACTTTAACTTGTGTCAATACTGTCCATTTACGACTCTGTTTTTGCACATTTACAGTCAATCATCCATATTTAATCTTCCTATTTAAGACTAGTAATGCTTAAGTTAAATCCTGGTTGTATATGTTCACATTCTTATTTTTTATATTTTTTAGTACTTATTTACTTTGTAGTTAATATTATATTGTGTTTAGATTTGCTAACATTGTGTTTTTTTACTCATATTGTGTGTTTGGATAACCTGCTGCTGTAACGCCACAATTTCCCAGTTTGGGATCAATAAAGTAATTATATTCTGTTCGATTAAGACGGGCTAAGAGGTACTTTAAAGTTCTGTCTAGTTCATATTTTATGAATCACCTCATTATGTTTTTGGTCTACACGAGACTTCCTCTATAAGCTTTATTTTTGCTTAGGTAACAGTGCGCATAGTGCTGCATTGTAACCATTAGGTTGTAATAGTAAAAGAGTCAAATTGTGTTTGCCTAAATTGTGTCCAGCTCACTTAACAGTTTGATGGATTGTCCTGATTTAATCCAAAAAGAAGAGATGGAAAACTGGTCAAGCCCAAGAGAATATATATGACACATTTTTTTTAACAACATTTGGGTGGAACTTTTGACATCCATCTCTTTGTGAAGCAAACATAATGTTGATACTTTAAGTGACATAAACAGTATTTGATATTATACCTACCTTGGTTATTGTTTTTTTGTTTGTTTAGGAGGTTTTGTTTAATCTTTAGTTCTTCGAGTTAAACTGAAAGAATATTGAGTTGCTGCTTCCTGTGTGTGTTTTAAATCATGGTCTAACTTCTTTCCATGTCTTGCTGTGAAGTTCCAATAACTTCTCATTCTTTGCTTTGCTTCAAGTCGCTGGAACATTTTTTTCTCTCTCGAGGGCTAAAAGCGACAAACAAACTTGCATTTAATGAATTAACTTCTATATGTCAAGTAAACGGTTAGTTTTCTGCTTTGATAATAACACTTGGACAATAACATTTCTATTCTGAGATTAATTGCAGGCTTGTGTTACTGCCAAGCTCCGAAAAAATGAGGTCATCAATCATGATCCTCATTTCAGTCTAAATGTGTGTCCAAAGTCTGTTTTGTTTGACATTCTCTTGTTCTTTCACAATGCATTTGACATTTACTTTTCAAACGATCTGAAGGTCTCAGAGAGTTTGCCTTTAACCTAGTTTACAGTTACTGGTCCTGCTTTGCTCTGTACTCGCTAACCTCTGTGGACTAACTGTGTAAACGGGATATGCCAGAAGTTTTCAGATAGACCTTTGACCAGACAATCTCTAGTATTGTTGGCCGATCATTTTTAACACAGCTGTAAAAGCATTAGCATTAAGTGAACTGGGAAGCAAAGTTGCACACAAAGCTTTCTATTAGTTCTAATCATGCAAACCAGTCAAAAGGATATATTTCATTTTAGGAGCGGGCCTTTTTTTAATGTCTTCGGTGTGGGCAAGGTGCGTTTGGTCTGTGATGGCACTGAAAGAAAGGACTTCAATGTTTTTTTTTTTTTTAGTGCAGGCTCAACCTGAAGAGCAGAAGGTCGACAGGGTCTGCGCACGATGAGAGAATTGTGTGTGTGTGTGTGTTTGCCTTTTGTAAACAGAGACCACACATAGAGAGCAGACGTGGCCTCAGCAGGGTTGCGGTGGAGCCGTGTCACAGTGACTGAACCTTAGGGCATTATCCATAGCCTATTTGTGGAGGAAAATCAATTTCCTTTGTGAAGAGAAGGCAGTTATTGCCTTAAACAGAACAAAAAAACAACCAAACATATCGGCAGCCGGTCAGTGCTTTCCTATCAAACTGTCAATTTCAAGCTGACAAAAAAAAAAACATGTAATTCTTCATCAGCTCAATCATCTGTGAGTCATCTGTGAGTCCCTTCACAGAGCTTTGTACCACCTTCAGGACTTTGCTAAAGAGTTTCATAAAGAGGGATTGCGTTTTTTCTCAAAGCATAATAGATTTACTGTTGGCAGTTCACATTGTTCCTTTCTCTGAATTTCTCATCAGACATGTTGCAGGCAGCTCTTACTGTCCTGTGATTAACTGGGTCTTTTTTTTTTTGTGGTAGAAGAAGCATCTGTGGGTTTGGGTTTGATGTTCCTACCCATGTGCCTCAGGTGGTTATCTGCTTATCTGCCCCTTGTGTGCATAAATGTCCCAGTCATGGTCCGTCCAAATGTGTGCGTTCATCACCTGAAAGACATTTTCGTTTGTATTAGATGCAAAAGATCGAGCTGTTTTTTTTCCGCAATTTAAAGAGAATATGGAGCAACCTTGTTTCATATATTAGGTCTTTAACAACCATCGAAACCTGAAAGACAGTTTTGCTGTAAACTAATCATGTCTCTTTATGCTCCTGATAATGTCCACTGGATATTTAAACAGGTTTGTTTGTACTTATCAACATAGCTGTGAGGAACACTGAAACAAACAAGACTGTCAGTATTTGTTTATGTTCGGGCCATGTTTAAAAAATGTTTCAAGTGTCTACGATGTTTGAGGTATGATATGCCTTTAGGGTGGTCGCTGACTATTAGCATGATAGTTTACTTTTCTCTCTCTCTCTCTCTCTCTCTCTCTCTCTCTCTCTCTCTCTCTCTCACTCTCTCTTACTCTCTCTTGTCATTGTGCGCAGTCATCATGGCAGAAGCCCACCAGGCAGTGGCCTTCCAGTTCACCGTCACTCCGGAGGGCATTGATCTTCAGCTGTCCCACCAGGCCCTCACTGAGATCTACCTCTCTGGTGTGCGCTCCTGGAAGAAACGCATCATCAGACTGAAAGTAAATCCTCTCTGGCTGTCATGCCTGTTCGGCTGTTTAGTTTGTTTATGCTTAGCCTTTGTCTCTGTCCCCAAACTGTCTATAATAATCTCAGTCATGCTTACAGCGTGCCTCTTTCTCCAAGTTATTATCGCTTTTTCTTCTCCTTTCTGAGTGTCAGCACTTGCATCTGAATCAGGGCTACATGCAGGAGAATATTCCAAGTGTTTTGTCTAGTCAGCCTCTCAGGGTAACAGTGTAATATTTAGCTCGTTCTTCGCTGTTTGCAGGTTTACAGCAGCTTTTTTTTTTACTGCAGTTTGACTGTGTATCAGTTATCAGTGTGCTTATGAAAGGGAAAGCTTGCTCTCATTGAGTTGCTCCATTGTTATGTGTGTAAATCAATCAATAATGAGGACTGTCTCACTCACTGTGATACTATCTCTGTTTGTGAGTTTCCTCATGCCTTTTATTTGATCCTCACTTCCATGGCTCATTCAATTTTCTGAGCAATGTGAACGTCATTCCAAGTTATATTTGATGTATACGCTTTTAGACCAACTCAAAAATATGAAGTTAAGGTTACATGGCTGATCATTTGGTTTGTAAGTAAGGATCATTTCTGACCTCAAGATAAATCAAGTTAAGAAGTGATTCGTCAGTGTGTGTGTGCATGTCATTGTACTCATTATAAACAGGAAGGATGGACTCTAAAAAGACTTTCTCATCTCTCCAATGAACAGAACAGTGTGATAACTGGAGTGTATCCTGCTAGTCCCTCCTCCTGGCTTTTTGTGGTCATAGCAATCCTGGCTACAATGTACACTCGTTCCGACCCCTCCATGGGACTCATAGCAAAGATACAGGAGCACCTTCCCGTCAGGTAACACAACCTGTGACCGAGAATAGTGCATGTTAAAATTCTACTACTACTTATAAAACAATCTATGTCAACGTAACGTTTAATGTGGTTGAAACAGGCCCTTAACCCTTCCCGTTCTTCCTTTTGTTCCAAATTGTCT